ATTTTGGAATAAGTGTGATGTGGTACTGAGAAGAATGTATGTTCTGGTTGATTTGGGGTGGAGAGTTCTGTAGATGTCTATTAGGGCTGCTTGGTGCAGAGCTGAGTTCATTCCTGGATATCCTGTTAACTTTCTGTCTCGTTGATCTGTCTAATTGACAGTGGAGGTGTTGAAGTCTCCCATTATTATTGTGTGGGAATCTAAGTCTCTTTGTAAGTCTTTAAGGACTTGCTCTAGAATCTGGATGCTCTGTATTTGCGGTACAATATATATTTAGAATTTAGGTTTGCTCTTCCTGATGAATTAAATCCCTTTACCATTATGTAATGGCTTTTCTTTGTCTCTTTTGATCTTTGTTGGTTTAAAGTCTGTTTTATCAGAGGACTAGGATTGAAGCCCTGCCTTTTTCTGTTTTCCGTTTGCTGGTAGGTCTCCTCCATCCCTTTATTTTGAGGCCTATGTGTGTCTCTGCACATGAGATGGGTCTCCTGAATACAGCAAACTGTTGGATCTTGACTCTTTATCCATTCTGCCAGTCTGTGTCTTTTAGTTGGACCATTTAGCCCATTTACATTTAAGGTTATATTGTTAAATGTGTGAACTGATCCTGTCATTTGATTGTTAGCTGCTTATTTGCTTGTTAGTTGATGTATTGTTCTTCCTAGCATCAATGTCCTTAACATTTTGGCATGTTTTTGCAATGGCGGTACGGTTGTTCCGTTTCGCATGTTTACTTGCTTCTTCAAAGATCTCTTGTGAGGCAGGCCTAGTTATGACAAAATCTCTCAGCAATTTGTTCTCTGTTCTAAAGATTTTTATTTCTCATTCGCCTTATGAAACTTAGTTTGACTGGATATGAAAATTCTGGGGTTGAAAATCCTTCTTTAAGAATGTTGAATATTGGCGCCCCACTCCCTCTGAGCTTGTAGAGTTTCTGCCGAGAGATCGCGGGTAGTCATGTAGGGCTTCCTTTGTGGGAAGGACCCAACCTGTTCCTGAACTGCCCTTAACAGTTTTTCCTTCATTTGCAACTTTGGCAAATCTGACAATTAAGGTGTCTTGGAGTTGCTCTGTCTCGAGGAGTATCTTGTGTGTGTTCTCTGTATTTGCCGAATTTGAATATTGGCCTGCCTTGCTAGGTTTGGGGAAGTTCTTTCTGGGATAAGTATACCTGTCAGAGTATTTTCCAGACTTGGTTCTCATTCTCCCTGTCACTTTCAGGTAGCACCATCGACGGGATTTGGTCTTTTCAGCTATATTCCTATTTCTTGGAGGCTTTGTTCACTTTCTTTTTACTCTTTTTTCTCTAAACTTCTCTTCTCACTTCATTTCATTCATTTGATCTTCAATCACTGATAACTTTTCTTCCAGTTGATCAAGTTGGTTACTGAAGCTTGTGCATTTGTCACGTAGTTTTGTGTCGTGATTTTCATCTCTATCAGGTCATTTATGGACTTCTCTGCATTGGTTATTCTATTTATTCATTTGTCTCTTGTGGGAAGTCAGGGACCCCAAATGGAGGGACTGGTTGAAGCCACGGCAGAAGAACATAAATTATGAAGATTTCATGGACATTTATTAGTTCCCTAAATGAATACTTCTATAATTTCTGATACTTGTCTTTACTGCAATCTCTGAACATAAATTGTGAAGATTTCATGGACACTTATGACTTCCCCAGTCAATAATCTTGTGATTTCCTGTGCCTGTATTTACTTTCATCTCTTAAACTCATCATCTTCTTGGTAAACTGAGGAGGATATATGTCACCTCAGGACCCTGTGATGATTGCATCAACTGCACAAATTGTTTGTAGAGTATGTGTGTTTGAACAATATGAAATCTGGGCATCTTGAAAAAAGAACAAGATAACAGCAATGTTCATGGAACACCAGAGGTAAGACTTCTGGCCTCCAGTGAGCCAGACAGAACAGAGCCATATTTCTCCTCTTTCAAAAGTAAATAGGAGAAATATCACTGTATTCTTTTTCTCAGCAAGGAACATCCCTGAGAAAGAGAATGTACCCTGAGGGTAGGTTTATAGATGGCCCCGTTAAGGCATGCCATCTTTTATGTTCGAAGTCGAAGGGATGAAATAAGCCCCAGTCTCTGTAGCGCTCCCAGGCTTATTAGGACAAGGAAATTCCTGCCTAATAAATTTTGGTCAGACAGGTTGTCTGCTCTCAAATCCTGTTTCCTCATAGGATGTTATCAATGACAATGCATGCCTGAAATTTCATTAGCAATTTTAATTTCGCCCCATCCTGTGGTCCTGTGATCTCGCCCTGCCTCCACTTGCTTTGTGATACTTTATTACCTTGTGAAGTATGTGATCTCTGTGACCACACCCTAGTCATGCATTCCCTCCCTTTTTGAAAACTGCTAATAAAAACTTGCTGGTTTTATGGCTCGGAGAACATCACGGATCCTACCGACACGTGATGTCTTCCTGAGACACCCAGCTTTAAATTTCCCTCTCTTGTACTCTTTCCCTTTATTTCTCAAACCAGCTGAGATACCTAGGATCATCAAATCTTTTTTCAAGATTTTTAGTTTCTTTGCACTGGGTTCGTAGTTTCTCCTTTAGCTCTGAGAAGTTTGATTGACTGAAGCCTTCTTCTCTCAACTCATCAAAGTCATTCTCCATCCAGTTTTGTTCCATTGCTGGCGAGGAG